AGCTTGATGTGTATATACACGTGGAAAGAAAGCTTTTTGTTCTGCTGAGGCAGAGGTTGGTTCTGCTCCAGGTAGATGGTAGTTTCTTCTCCTCATCAATTTGTATCCGCTCTAGTGCATCTGATTCCCTCATGCGGCCCATTGTTGGCAAGTTTTTGGCTCCTGCTGGACTTTAAGAGAGAGATTTATTCTGATGCTTTTCACTTAAAGAGATCAGACATTCACTGCAGTTATCAGCAGTTTGAATCGGCCAATCACTTAAAGCAGAAAAATAATGAAGACATTAAACTATCAGGCACATGAGAGTATTTAATTAAAGGGGCAGATGCTGAATCAAGAGTCTGCTGTCTGGAGAAGCTCTTTGGACCTTAAAGAGACTGGCTTTGGTTTGGTTTGGTTTTTCTTTGCCGTCTGGCCAAATGCCCATGTTACTAGATTATTATGAAAATTCACTGTTTATGAGATTGACCCTCTATAAGTGACTTATTACAATCACAGTATCAGATTTTTTCACTTAAGCACATTGTTTCTGTAGTTTCAAATAAAAAGGGCCATGCTTTACACTTTTATAGCCCTTTAATTTATCCCTAAAGTCCTCTTATAATGTTATACTTTATGTAGAAAATTACATATAATTGCTACTTGCAGTCTGTATATTGTGTAATATGTGTATATTTTTCATTAAGCATTCCTGTAGCTTAAACAGTAGAGCATAGCGCTAGCAACGCCAAAGTCATTAACTGATAAAATGTATACCTTAAATGCACTTAGGATAAAAACATTTGCCAAATGCATAAGTGTAATTATATTTGTTATAATTTATATAAGAAAATAAAGCCTGTTTTTAAGACCATTAAGATTATTGTGATGTTGTTTGCATGACAATAAAACACATTTCTCCCTTAATTTCTTACTGTAATGTGAAAAACATGTCATTAACTGTTATTTTAGTCATATTTATATAATATTTTAGTTTTCAATATTTTGAGCTTTTATATTATATTTATTTTGTACATTTAATGTACATTTGCCATTTTTATTAGTTTGTTTTAAAACATTTGTAAAGTTATCTTTTTATTTTAGTTTTCATTTAGTAATTCCAATACCTCTGCTTTTTAAAAGTTTTCATTTTTGTGTGGTTTTTCCATCTGATATTTATTTTATTCTATTTGAGCTTTATTTCAGTTAGCACAGGTTACGATAACAGTAAGTACAGTAAAAGAAAAATAAGTTGCTGCATAAGTAAGGTAGTTGTAGTTCTTATGTTGCAACTTGTTAGCAATTTTAGAAACATAATAACAGATGTAAAATTCACATCTGAGGTTTGAATGCGTATAATTTATCTTGTAAAACAAGGTGTGAATGTCTCTTCAACTAATGCCTATTTTACTAATAAATCCGTAAAAGGTTATTCTAAAATTATATTTGAAATACCTAAATGATCCCATGGCTGGTATGCTGATTCGCTTCTGGGCAGGACTACAAAGCCAACAGCTCTATTATGGGATGTCTCCATGGAAACAGCAGAGTCATGTTCATTTTTCCCCCTCATGTGAACGATGTCAAGAAATTCGTAAATAAGAGTTAACAGGCCTTCCGATTTTCCTCCCGAGCGCTCTGATGGCATCAGCAGCTATTTGATTGCCCTAAACAAATTGAATTTGAGAAAATCATTGCTTTTAATTAGAATAAAAGCCCTCGGAGGGGTGTGGAGTGAGACGTGCTGAAGCCGGGTAGCTGAAGAAATGTTATTATAGAGAGATAGATGAGGAGCACATTGCTGTGTTTCTTCTACTGAAAAATTTGGTTTTATGTTGATTGCCGAATTAAAGACTTCTCGGGATGTTGCATGTCTGTGCTGGCACTGTTGTGTTTATGAAGTGCATTCATAAGAAATGTGTACATTATTACAGTTTGAAAGCAGGTTGTACCCATAGCAAAATATTTTCTGCTGTTGCATGGTGTATGCATGTATGCTGTCATGATCAAAGACACAAATCTCATTGTTCACAGCTCTCAGCTCGAGAAAAAGCTGCCGCAAACTATAACAAGAAGCTGATAGAGAAATTTCAGCACCATCCACAGGTGAAACGCATCGCCCGTCACCGCCACCTGCCCAGAGACGTCCTGAAGCAGAAGTGAGAGCTGCGGGAAATGATGGAAGCCCGGCGCAGGTAGTAAGTTCCCTTCACCAATGTTAAAGGAATAGTTAACCCAAAAATGGCAATTTGTCGAAGAGATTTGGAGAAATTTAGCATTACATCACTTGTTCACTAATGGCTCCTCTGAAGTGAATGGGTGCCGTCAGAATGAGAATCCACATGCAATCCGCATAACTCTAGTCCATCAATTAAAGTCCCAAAATTCATTAATTTGCAGCATCTGGAAACCTTGTGTTGCATACCATAACAACATCAGACTTCTTTGAAAAAGCTTGGGGAAAATGACACATTATTGTATCTTGTGCCTTTTGGCTCTTTTGTACTGGCAGCAAAATGAAATGAATCCATGTTCAAGTTTGATTGGCATTCTGATTGTCTGTGCTTCTCTGTGTGTTTTTTAGGGAACAAAACGTCCGCAAACACAGCAAGCTGAGATATGTTCCTCTGCTGACAGAAAAGGAGAAACGTGGTGGCTGTCGTGGAGTAAGAGCTGATTTAAAGAGGTGCTTTCAGTGGATGGGTTTCTGTTTCTCCACACACGGACGCACTCCAAAATATTCCACCCTTTGCCCTCTCTTGTGCGTCAATACTAAGTTTTTGAGTGTACACAAGAACTGTCGGCATACTGCTGTTTGCTACACATTTCTAAAGAATTTTACATGGACACACACTGAGCTCTCTTTATAATTGGTTGTGTATGAACAATGAAAACATCTTTATTTGTGAATATTCCTGTTTCCAATTTAGCCTTCACTCCAAACCCACTGGGTTACACAATGACACATTGATGTAAGTAAACAGGACTGTTCCAAATGTTTCTATAACATATAGGTACTAGTGAATGTGTTACCATCACCTGCTACCGTTACCTGTATCACCATGTAAATGAATTAACATGGATTTACCTTGGAGCAAGGTTACCTTGTAGGTGTTCTTACTGATGTTATGTGGGCCATATATTGTCTGATGGTGAACTACAATAATTGCAAGCTAGGGTTGGTGAGTATTGTTAAGAGTCAGTTGTTCTCATATACAGCCTTAAATGCAAGCCTGCTGTTTTACAGTGTTTGTGTCATGCAATTGTTTGCAAAGGTAAACCAGCACTGTTTTCACATCCTGTAAACGACTTAATTCTTTAATAAGGTATAAAATACACTCCACCTTTTTAGCCCATAATCCTATCATCTCAATCTGCTCTCGTTTAAATCTCATCTATAGTCTGCGCAATCCAAAGGTGAGAGAAATTGATTCTTTGAGTCAGAAACGGGTGCTTTGAACAATACTATGGTAACACTATAATTGTATTATAAAGTTATTTACATTGTATAATGTTGAACAGGTCAGTAAAATTTCATGTTTTAGTGTTTGAAGGTGCATCAGCTAATGAAATTGAGCACTGAATTAGTAATGTTTGATATGATATTAATAAAGGTCATGCTACATTTTGCCGTGGTTAAAATTACTTGTATCAATCTGATATGGAATCAAGAATCGCCTCATTAATATTTAATTCATTAATGCCCATGAATTCAAATGAAAGCAATAGCCTAGGTTGTATTTAGCTGTAAATAGAAATGAACAAGATGTTTTGTTTAGCAGTTGAAAATGTAATTAAGCCTTATCATCTTTTAAAAAGGATGTAGTAGTAGCTATTCCATAAAGATTCAAATAATTTGACGCATTATTGGTCTATACTTCCTATTGGCAACGGACCCAGCTCAGGTTATTTTTAGAATGTATGGCTGATCCAGCTACAATGTAGATTCCAGTCCGTTTTTTCACTATGATTTTCGACCTTCTGTCAATGAAATTGCGAGTCCTACTATGGCAAAGGTTTAGATGAATATGAATTGGGTCATGCTGACGATGAGTTCTTATCTTCCAATGGTGCTGTCTTGGTTCCTGAATAAAATATTTCTCATCAAATTGGTCAGTTTTATAATTCTGGACCACAAAACCAGTCAACATTTTGAAATTGAGATTTACAAGAAAGTTGAATACACAAGCTTTCCACTGATGTATGTTTTGTTATGATATGTCAATATTTGGCTGAGATACAACTATTTGAGAATCTGTGGGTGCCAATTTTTTTTTTGTGGAGAAAATCGCCTTTAAAGTTGTCCAAATGAAGTTCTTAGCAATTTATATTACTAATCAAAAATTAAGTTTTAATATATATGTGTGTGTATGTATATATATATATATATATATGTGCGGTAGGAAATTTTCAAAATATCTTCATGATACATGAACTTTAATTAATATCCTAATGATTTTTGGCATAAAAGAAAAATCGATTATTTTGACCCATATAATGTATTGTTGGCTGTTGCTACAAATATACAGACTGGTTTTGTGGTCCAGGGTCTCATTTAAGTTGCTTGTACAACTGTTTTCTCTCATTTATGAAAACCTAGTGAAACCGTACATTAGACTTTAGAAAAAATAAATTAAAATAAAAGAGCACTGAAGACTGCATTTTATGCAATTATTTTTTTCCCCCTCTGGTAAAGTAACGGACGTTGTTAATGTACAAATATATTTTTTCCTGCCAGTGAATAAGAATAAGGTTTAGTTCTTGAATATTAATCGAGTAATGCTGACGTCTAGTTCTTCTGTTCCAATGGCGAATGCTGTGCTCTTGAATGTTAAATAGGCCGCGCTGACGTCGAGTCCTTTCCTTCCGAAAGCAAACGCTGCCTCATGAATATTAATAACTAAGCCTTCGCCGTAGTACGATTGGTTAACTCGCCTCCCGGCCGGGCGGCTTTGCTCCGCCCACACTTCCAATTGGGATTCTGTGTTGCTGCATCCATTTTTGTGTATTTAAGATATCTTCAAGGATTACCAAACCTGGAGAAAAGCGAGGCACCGGCGCAGAGGGACCCAAAAGCGAAACAAACATTTATTATGAGATGCAAAAGAACTTTTCCAGGACGATGACAGCGATGGGTTAGACAGGATTGAACAGGATGATGGCCAAATAAAAGGCAAGAGGCGATTTCACATCCTCACTGAAATCTGGAATAACATCTGAGATCTGCTATTTTATTCATAATGCATCGTTGCTTTATTCATTTTCTTTTTGTATTGAGGAAGAGGAGAATTTTAAACAGGATTACGTTAATTTCAATAGCCATTGCCTTCAAAAGGACCAGCTGTATCCATTCTTCTCTTCTATTGCTCAGAGAATGATTGATCTAATGCTGTAAAATCCACCTTATGTAGTCTAAGAGCTTACACTGTTATCATTTCAATAGTAGTAAAATAACTTAAGCTCCTTTAGGGTTTTAAAGCATCGTAACGGTCATCAGAGATGCTGCTGTGGGTTATGGTGCTTTGATTCCTGAGCAACCAAAACCCACTGATGATTGATCAGATAGACCTTGCATTCATCATGGATTAAGTCTGGTTATTGATCTCCTTCAGCATCGGCGTGTAAAGATGTCTGCTCCAGCCGGGCCCCGCAGCGGGCCTGTCCTGCCGGAGATGCCGGACCTGAGCCACCTCACCGAGGAGGAGAGGAAGATCATCCTCGGTGTCATGGACAGGCAGAAGAAAGAGGAGGAGAATGAGCAGTCCATGTTGAAGTAAGAGCTTTATGGATCCTTACTGTATGAAAATATATCTCGAGCTGTTGGCCAAAGGATGGAGAGGGAATGGTGTGAATGATCCCCGGTTCGTTTGATTTGACACAGAGAGCCCGAGTGTTGGAGGTTTAGTGGCGATGTCTAATGGAGAGAATAACATTTTTGATTTATTAGTCATATGGACATCAGGCCTCTGCTTCATTCTCTTGGCTTTGGGACTGTATTATGCGCCATTTTCGCCTTTACTAGTGCACACTTCATAGTGACAGCTCATAGTACAATAGCACGTTATTCCAGTTCAATCGATGTGAATATCTAATGTTGTTTTGACCTGAGCGTTGAGGCTGCGGCGCCAGAGATTTCAGCACCACGGCGCTGTCCATTCACTTTATAGGATCCATTGGTGAGCAAGTGATATAATGCTGAATTTCCCCGAAATCTGTTCAGATGAAGAAACAAACACAAATTTTCATTTTTGCGTGAACTATTCTCTTTATAAAGATGTCTCATATTGTGATGGATTCATGCCACAGTCTGTGTTGAAATAAGGCTAAAATAATCAGAAACCTTATTTAAAATAAACTTTAGCCCCTTTTCAGAAGGATCTGCAGAGCAGAAGGTGCTACACAGACAAAAACAACAAAGGATTTGACTGACTTAACCACATTTTACTCTTTTCATTAGTTGTTCTAGTGTTTAGGACCGATAGAAAGTGTCAAACTTCCTTTGTATTGCCTTGCCATGATGAGTTTTTGGTGTTGTTGATGTGTAAATGTGGGTAATCATAATTGTGTTAATCAGTGCATCTTTCTGATGTTGAGGACGCTCAGAATGAGCAGTTTTTGTAGCTTCGTTTCTATAAATGCTCTTTTTGGAGTTACAGCATGTTTTTACGCATCATATGACATTTGCTCATTAGCATGTGGTTCTGGACTTGTCCTGTACTGCTCAGGCTCAGATTTTGTCTAGTCAAGGTGGTGATGGAGAAACAAGCAGGATAACTGGTCACTAATGAGATTTTTAGCTGTGGTTGTTTCACCATAAATCTCAGTGTGTCCATGGTAGCCAAGCCACAGGATGTTCTTCTAGAAAAAAATCATGTTTTTTTTTTTAATGGTCATACACACACACACACACACAACGGTGGCTGTAAGCCAACTCGGGGAATCCTGGGAGAATGAATAGACGAAGAAACCCTCTGTAGAAGTGTTTGCCAACTTCCTGTCATCTCACTAGAGGAGCCACAAAGAAATTGAAACAAGTCCAGCAAGAGAGAGAGAGAGAGAGTGAGGGAGAGTTTTAGTAGCTGAAAGTGAGAGTGTGCCAGGGGAGATTTTTTTATGGTCATACACACACACACACACACACACACACACACACAACGGTGGCTGTAAGCCAACTCGGGGAATCCTGGGAGAATGAAGAGACGAAGAAACCCTCTGTAGAAGTGTTTGCCAACTTCCTGTCATCTCACTAGAGGAGCCACAAAGAAATTGAAACAAGTCCAGCAAGAGAGAGAGAGAGAGTGAGGGAGAGTTTTAGTAGCTGAAAGTGAGAGTGTGCCAGGGGAGGTGTTTATAGCCTATGAAAGAGACAGAAAGAATGAGAGACTCACTAGAGGAGCCACAAAGAAATTGAAACAAGTCCAGCAAGAGAGAGAGAGAGAGAGTGAGGGAGAGTTTTAGTAGCTGAAAGTGAGAGTGTGCCAGGGGAGGTGTTTATAGCCTATGAAAGAGACAGAAAGAATGAGAGACAGGATGTTTAGGAGATTTGACTGAGAGAGATTGCTTTGAGGAGAGCAGTTGTTGCCTATTTGCTCTGTTATTATCCGGGGGTAGTGTGTGCTTCTCATCTGTATTATATATATGTACTTACAGTATGCGGAAAAAACAGTACTTACGTATTTATTTAATATTGTATTTCATGTTTAGATGTGCAAAATTAGTTGAATTTAGTTAAATTGAGTATGCATTTTTGAGAGTTAAAAAACAGGTAAAATGATTTAGAAAAAAGAAAACGAAATAAATACATTTGTTTTTATATGTATTATTTTCATACTTATTTTTTATTTTCATACTTTACACATTTTGTTTAATTTATTGTATTTCCTATTTTAAAAGTATTTTCTTTATTTAATTTATTTCATGCTCATTCTGTCAGGGTCTAGGATAGATAGAGGACTGAGATGCAGAGTAGTGAGAAAGGAGATTCTTTATTCTCGCCACAAAATAACATAAATAATAGTTAATTGCTGCTCAGGTGAGCGGAGATTCCAGAGCTGGCCGGCAGACACTGCGGACCACTCGAGCTGCCGGATCTCCGTACTACGAATCCTTAAGCACAGGAGAACAGAGGGTCAGACACTGATTCTTGCACTCATAAGTTACACAAAACACGAGCAAGGACAAAACAATCTACTCATGACGAAGGACAGAAAGGCAGAGACATATAAGGGAGTGGGGGAATGAACGACAGGTGGGGGAGAGTCAGCTTGTGATCCGCGAACCCCCGCTGCGAGATCAGCGCTGATTGCCCAGACCACGAGCTACCGAACATGACAGGACAACACAGACCGCAGGGGAAGCCGGGGAGGCACCCTGCACCGTGACATATTCAAGGATTAAGAAATAAAAATAAAATTATAAATAAATAAATGACAATAGTACGATTATGCTGCCCTTTTGAGGACATTTTCATTTAGCTTGTCTGCTTCAGGGTCCAGTTGCATGAACATAGTCACCATGTTAAGACTGTCTCTGAAGAACTAGTTTGACTAACTAGCAGTTAACCAAGTGGTAATCAGTCTAACTTTTTGGATTCAAATTTGACCAAACCATTACTAGACATGGCCTCATTTAATGCTTGTTTGTTTTATGCTTGTTTTATCATTTGTCAACTATTCTCACTAGTCAGCCAGCCAGACTTTTGACTAAAAATCCACGTTGCGACTTATTCTTGCTTAGTACTGTCAATTTAGACAGGAAGCAAATGTGTCACCAACATTTATGCTTATCAAACGCAGTTCATATTTATGTCCAGAATACAGTTCTAACTTATTTGCTAAACAAATACCTGAGTATCTTATAAAGATTTGAGGCCACTAACCTGGCAAACTTTGGCAAATCTAAAGTCTTAAAAATAAAGGTGCTTCACGATGCCATAGAAGAACCTTTTTTGTCTAAATGGTTCCATAAAGAACCTTTAACATCTGAAGAACCTTTCTGTTTCACAAAAAGTTATTTGTGGCGGAAGAAGGTTCTTCAGCTTATGAAAAGGTAAGAAAGTGATGGCTCTATAAAGAACCTTTGACTGAATGTTTCTTTGTGGAACCAAAAATGGTTCTTCTATGGCATCACTGTGAAGAACCTTTTAAGCACCTTTATTTTTAAGAGTGTAACAACTGGTTCTTCCTCAAAGTTGCTCATTGCATTAACATTGCATAAACATGTTTCCAAGCAAACCCTGGACCTCCGACTCCCGGAAGTCAACCCGATTGGAACTGCCTATTTGCTGCTTGTGTTTGTCAGTTGTATGCCTCATCCAGTCAGTGATGGGACTGTGGGTGTGCTGTCTGAGACTCAGACTGTAATTTGCTCATACGCTCAAATCTTTTCCATCAGTAATCACAGGAATTCCTCCTCAAATCCATCTGTAGATGACACTGAGGAGGTGAGGAACGTTGTGACCTGAATTGTAGACTCACTCATACACACGGCATCCCCTGCTACCATGTAAAGAGCCTCTGTGAGACCCCCCTCCCCCACACACACACATCTTGGTGGCCTCCGGGGGGACGGGCCGCAGCGAGGCTCAATCCACACCGCAGAACACACACCAACTGGCTCCGTCCTGCTCATTAGCATCTTCCATCAGCACACTAGCTGGCATACGGGATGTTAATGGACTGGTTTGTAAAAGCACTGGGTGTTGGTTAACCAAAGGTGGAGCGTGTGTCTCCAAAACCTAGTGATCTGCCTACAGTAGGTATCTGCTTTTTAAGACCGCATTCTAAAGTGGAAAAGTAGTAAAAGACAGTCCAAAAATAGTAGATAAAATAGTATGTTATACTTCAATGCTTGTCAGTATGGAATGAATTGTATGTGGATTAATTATTAACATTTATCTTGTATAGTCCTCCATTTTGGATTTTTTTTTCACTAAGCTTGTTGCAATGCATTCTGGGATTGCATGTCTTAGAAGGCTGCGTAATTAAGTTAAATAAGCCTTTGCATTTGGAACGAGCCATATGATGGCTGAGCGGAGCATTACCTCTGCTCTCCTCTCGTTCCGACTCACCTTCCTATTCATGACTCGTTCGTGTTCTGTCACCTAGCATTACCTATTCTCTCATTTTTTACTCAGTTTATCTCTAACCCACCCCTCCTCTCTTGCCATCCACACATTTAATTTGTCATCATATGATTTTTACTATTTTGATTGTTAATATAACTAATAAAAATGACAAAAGCACATCATAAAATTACTTAAACATAAACTAAATTTAAAATGAATGCTAGAAATTAGTTTTGAAAATGATATAGATGTTCGCTGTATACTTATGTATGCTCTAGATCCAAGATAAATTTGTTGACTCATCACTAAAACCAAATAAATGACCTCAAACTAGCATGCTGTGATACGCAGAGTACGAGTAAATCAGAACTCAGCCAGTTTCCTGTGCAGCGGAAGCGCCCAGCGTGAGTGTAGTACACAGAGCAGTACGTCACAGCGCTGAGACACCCAACGCTGCTGCCGTATAGTGCTGTCACTATTGCATAAGATTGACCCAGCGCACTGAGAGAGCACACGCTGATCAGTTTGCCGCATTTAGAAACGTTCCACCACAAATGCAAAATGCCTTGATGTTTCTCAGTTTGTTTTACATTTATGTGTTTGGGTAAAACCTCATAGTGGCACCGGTTCATCTGAAGCTGATTGCATGCAAATCCTGAAGAGCCTCACATTATTCATGGGCGACTATAAATAGCTTTGTAGTCGCT